AATGTATGCACTTAAAACAAAATATGTAGGCCAGGGAGGAAGTGCGAATAGTCTTGGAAACAAAAGGGCTACTCATATTTGACCTAAAAGTCAGGGGAGGAAAATATAAGCATAGTTATATGATCACAGAAAGTGAAATTACAGACACATTTTTGTTGGAGGTGTACGAAGGAAACCTGGAGTCGGAAGAGTGTTCTAGTCCCAGGTGTGCTGTTTTCTGACTGTGTAATTCTGGAAAAATCATTTAACTTCCTTTAGTTCAATTCAACAAAATTTTTTGAACTGTGTGGCTTGCTCTTTGCAGGATGCAAAACACAGAGATGAAATACTTGCCCTTGAGGAATTTATAGTGCAGTGGAAGAGGCTGCCCTAGATATGGACTGAACTCAATTTTCCTCAGCTGTGAAATAAAGACGATATGTATAATTTTGGCTCAACTGGGATTCCTAGAAGGTTAAAGATAAGTTTGTGCCAGTAAAAATAATGGTTCAGTAAAATTACTATTTGAGATCCGTGTGAAGTATATTAAATTTGCACAGGAATTCTAATTTGGAGGTTTGGTTTCATTTAGTCAGAAGAAGGTGGCTTACATCTGTAACCTCAGCAACTTGAGAGGCTGAGGCAGGAGGATCTCTTGAGATCAGGAGTTCGAGACCAGCCTGGGCAGCATAGGGAGATCCCATCTCTAAGAAAAACATTTTTTAAAAAAAGAAAGATTTGGGAATAATTTACCAGGCATCACATAATCTTAATTAACATACCTGCCCCATATTAGTCTGTTTTTGCATTGCTATAAAGAAAGTAACTGAGGCTGGGTAATTTATAAAGAAAACAGATTTGTTCAGCTCACAGTTCTGCAGACTGTACAAGATGCCTCGTGCCGGCGCCTGCTTCTGGTAAAGACTTCAGGATGCTTCCACTCAAGGTGGAAGGTAAAAGGGAGGAGATGTGTCACATGACCAGAGAAGGAGCAAAGAGAGGGAAGAGGTGGTGCCAGGCTCTTTTAAGCGATCAGCTCTCGCATGAGATAATAAGATGAGGACTCACTCATTGTCGTGGGGAGGGCATGGAGCCCTTCATGATGGATCGATCCACCCTCATGACCCAAACACCTCTCACCAGGCCTCATTGGGGATCAAATTTCAACATGAGATTTGGATGGGCCAAACACCCGAACCAAATCATGCCCCATGAGGAAAGGGTAATTTTCTATGCAAGGGTGTGTGTGTTTGTGTGATGGGGGGGGGGTTGTCTCAGCTGGAAAGGGACTGAGATTTGAGAATATCTGTTGGCAAAATCAGGCAGGACCTTTGTTGCCCAGGTAGCTTATTTACAGCCACCTTTATACACAGGATCTAAAGAGCTTCCTGGGAAAAGAAGTTGAGCTGTGTCTACAAATGAGTATCAAGACCATATAAGCCTTATCTGGAGACATGAGAGAGATGAGATGGGGAGAGACAGCATTTAAATCCCAAGGTACCCTGAGAAATAAATCATCCTAAGGAAAGATGGTTTGGCCATGGCATGAGTAAGACCTGAGTGTCGAAGAGCATCCTTGGTACTGCATGTAGCCATTACTTAAAACCATCCTGGTGGAGAGGTGTCAGTTGGAACAAAAAGTCTGTGTGTAATTCTGCAGTTCCTAAAAGTCTTGTTGTGAGACTTTTCCTATAGATATGTCGGAAGGGAGGAGGGCCTTTAGCTTTTCATTTGCAACTTCTAAGTCATCCCAGAGGCACCGGTTTGGATGGATCCGTGGAGACAGCACAAGTAGCCATATTGCAGCAGGTGAACTTTGGCCCAGAGCTGAGCATCGAACAAAGATGGCAGCACAGGTGAGTGGCTGCCTAGACGGCGCATTGATAAGACTGTGGTAGCCTATCAGAGCAAAGCATCGATCACAGTAATGAGAGGTGAGCGCTGGTCCAAGATGAGTTGAAGGTACATGTAAAACACCCCTCGGCAGTTCCCAGAAACTCCAGGGTTGCAGAGAAACTGAGGGGTGACAAAGGTGATGGGCAGATAAGATCTTGATATTAAAACTCTTGCAGTAGAGTTGGCATCCATAGTGAGTGAGACCAGAGATGGTCTTGTCACTTTGAATGAGCTCAGCTGATCTTATCTGAGCTCTGGTTTAGCACGTAGCTATATTTTAAATTCATCACTGCTTTCCCATTAGAATCAATTAATTTATTTGTGCTAATCATACTGGTACTGTTAAAGGACTGATGCCTGCTATAGATGTGAAATTTTAGAAATTCACTAGTTTGGGAATATGTGTAAAATATAAGGAATTGGAATTAAAGATTACAGAGGCCTTTTTAAAGGCCCTGGTTGTATATAAAATATTCGGCATGCATGTCAGGAAGGAAGAGATTGTGAATACAGGCCATAATTTTGTGGCATAAAACAGCAGAGAGGATTTATTCTTTCATAATTCTGAAAGTCAGAAGTTTGAAATCAAGGTGTCGTGAGGACCCTACTTCCCCTGAAGATGCTAAGGGAGATCCCATTCCTTTCTTCTTGTAGCTTCTGATGGCTCCAGGCATTCCTCGGCTTGTGGCCGCATCATTTCAACATCTGCCTCTGTGGTTACATTGTCTCCTCCATGTTGGCTACCAAATCTCTACTGTGTGTCTCTTATAAAAATACCTGGCATTGGCTTTAGACCCCACCTTGATAATTCAGAATGATGTCTTTATCTCAAAATCCTTAACATTTACAGCTGCAAAGAGCCTTTTTCCAAATGAGTTAACATTCACAGGGGCTAGGAATTAAGTTCTGGACATCTTTTGGGGGGACTACCATTCAACTCACTACAATGCAGAGTTCATTCTTATCTATAGACACGCAAATTCTGTCTTTTCCAGTCAAGGTTTAGTTAACTTCTCTACCTCCCACCCCCTTTTTAAAAAACCAGGTTTGCCCCTATTTACACATTCATTTCAATACCCCTGATTTATAGATGAGTTTGCTTTTTGGATTCTCTTTTGAACTGGCAATGACATTGATCTGGCATCCTGGTTGACTGAGTTAAATAAAATCTTTAACATGTATTCATTTCATATCAACATAAAAGTTGTGACTTGTTTTTTCGATTATTGTGTCTTAGAGGTAGCTACTAGAGGAAAGTACTGATTGAAAAAATGTAAGTTTATCACTTATTGATTGATTATCTTTTTCTTTCCATTAGGATATAAAGTTCATAGTAACAAGTGTTTTTAACTGTTTTGGTCACTGACTTATTTCTAGTACTGAAAAAAAATGCCTGACGCATACTAAGGAAGTTATAACAAAATTTTTTTTTTAGTGAATGAAATGTTTTATTAAAAAATAATGAGCAATCTAGGGTGTTTTATATTTAAAAGTACATGGTGGGAGTGGATGTGCTGAAGAAAGAGGGTACAGATTTTATGGGGACTTGAATACCATACAAAAGCATTTGGATTTGTTCTAAGGATGACAAGGAGTCACTGAAGGTGCAAGCCAATCCCCTAGCATGTTGTGCATTCATCTGGGGTATCTGTTTTTGAGAAACCAGACTATTAAGGTTCTATCCAATAATATAATGAGTTCTGCTCTGTGTTTAATGTTTTCCCCTATGGAGGGAAGAGAATTTAGATTTTACTAAAATGGAGATTTATATTATATCAAAAAGATACCTATACTCATACATTTATTGCAACACAATTCACAATCTCAACGATGTAGAATCAATGAAATGCCCATCAACTGATGAATGGATAAAGAAAATGTGGTATGTATACGCCATGGAGGACTACTCAGCAATAAGAAAGAATGAAGTAATGTCTTTTGCAGCAACTTGGATGGAACTGGAGACCACTACCCTGAGAGTGAAGTATCAGAACAGAAAAACAGAAAAACAAATGCCACCTGTTCTCACTTATAAGCAGGAGATAAACAATGGCTACACGAGGCACACAGAGTGGTATAATGGATGTTGGAGACTCACGAAGGGGGAAGGTGGGAGGGGAGAGGGATGAAAAATTATCTTTGGGGTACAATGTACACTACTCTGGTGATGGGTACACTAAAAGCCCAGACTCCACCACTATAGAATATATACATGTAATGGAATTAAACTTGTACCCCCTAAGTCTGTTTTACAAAAAATAAAATGGAGATTTAATAAAAGCTAAATGATAAAAGACAATAATCATAGTGGTTAGTAAAGTGGCGTTATCAAGACATCAAGCTCAACTTTTGACTGTTGTTTGAATAAAAGATGAGGAATTTAAGTGACTAGATACCAACATAAATTTGTCTTAGTATTAATATATCTGTACATATCAAAAATTCTTTTTGATGTAATAATATTATTGGAAAGAATATTTATTTCATAATAAAAGATAATATTAATGATTTTCAATTCCAGGTCCCAGAAATCCATAAATGAAAGAATCTAGTGTAAAAACCAATAAAAGAAACTCAGGAATATGGTGGGAAATCATGCCTATTTTCCAATCTTCTGTGTGTTTTTCATAACTTTCTCACTATTTAATTAATGTAAACACAAATTTGCATATTTTTCTTTGTTACCTGTGATAGAGTATCAATTAGGACAATATTCTTTCACAGCCAGAGAATATAATCTCAATCCAAAAATTTATTCAGATGTGAAGGAATTTTGAAAGCTTGGTTAAATATATTCTAATGTGTCATCATGCCATCCAAAATAATAAAGAGAATATATCCTAAAGTCATTGTAGGAGATTTGTTTTTACAAGTTGATACCTTTAATATACAATCTATACTCCAAGTTGATGAATCTTGAATTATTCACTCTGAGGAACTCTTTATCAAGTTGAGTGTAGAATAACATAAAATTTTTGGCAAAGTTTGGATTTGCTCAGGATACGTTTAAAATAGACACAGGGCATCTTTTGTTCAGGGACAGTCTCTGCTCCCTCTTTGTGTTCCAAATCTATGGCTCTGTTGTAGTCAAGGTTACGGTGACGCATTGTGAGGCCAGTGAGAAATACAATCCCAGCCCTGAAGTTGTTGGAAAGAATACAGATTTGTAAAACACAAATTAGTCTCCAAGATATTTTAGTGATGCTTCAGGTCATTCACTAACGACCTGATGTTTCTGTAGTTTGAAGTTTCTGGAATTATTAGCCCAAATCAATGTTACTCTATTATTTTCCAGCCAAACTGTTTTTTTTTTCTCTGAATAAGTCAGTTGCCTATGTAAGAATAGACTTTCTAAATATTCACGTAGAGTTTAAATAGCTTTCAGGGGAAGAATGCAAGAGAAAATCATGGTTTAAAGAATATGAAAGCAACTGATATATTTCTACTGGAAATTTAAGAATCTCTACCATGAAATTATTTCTTTAATGGGCTGCCAAATGAGTTGAGACTGGAAGGAGTGGTAGTTAGGTGACTTTAAGTATTTTGTTCCTATTGATTAACCAAAAGAACTGTAAGGAATATTCCTATAGGAATATCTGGTTTAGAACTAGCAAATCCTCTTAATTGGTTGAGGAAATACCACCACAAATTAATCTTAGTCCACATTGCTTGTCTCTACATACTAGCTGGAAACGTCTTTATTTTTTTTTTTTTAAAGCACTCTTACTTCTGTCAGAGAGACCTTAATAGAAGTATTTCAGACTGCTTCATTCTTTATCTTTTTGATTAAACACACACATGCACATGCACACGTGGAAGGAATCTGTAGGAAACTAATTGACCATGGTCCATGGTCATCTTATTTGGGCTTAAAGGATGGAAGAGGCTCCATTAGGAAGAGAATGGAGCAACATGAATCTGAAGAAAGAGGAAGGACAGGTGAGCACTGTTCACGAAGCATGGAAACAAATTAGCTAATTAACCAGAGAATCTGTAGTTTCTACCCCAGGGAAAAGCTCTTTGGATACTAACACATGAGCCAACTGAAGAGCTTCTGGGGACAGAGATGTGAATAAGAACTCAAAAGATGGTCGAGTTTTACCAGTAAACATTTTAACATGTGAACATGACTGATTAGTCTCCAGGCTCCACGGATGGGGTGGGTGTACCCCAGTAGGACTTTTTGGCAAACATCAAGTGTTTCTTGATAAAAAAAAAAGATATCTTTTTAGTTACAAGCTTTTTAGCTGAGAAGAATCTAGTAAAAGTAGGATAGAAAAGGTATGGTGAAGGTTAGGAATAATGTTTGTTTATTTTTGAGACAGGGTCTTGCTCTGTCACCCATGCTGGAGTGCAGTGGCCTGATTATTGCTCACTGCAGCCTCGAACTCCTGGTCTCAAGAGATCCTCTTGCCTCAGCCTCCTGAGTGGCTAGGACTACAGGTGCATGCCACCATGCATGATTATTATTATTATTATTATTATTATTATTATTATTATGTAGAGAGGGTGTCTAGATATATTTCCCAAGCTGGTCTCAAACTCCTGGGCTCAAGGGATCCTCCTGCCTCAGCCTCCCACAGTACTGGGATTATAGGCATAAGCCAGTGCACTCAGCCTTAGGAATAACGTTTAATGTGCTCTGTTAACACTGGACAAGGCTGTAGTTGTACTTATTTTGCTATTTTTATGTGCCATAATGTCCATACTATTCATTTTTAAGAAAGTAATCAAAAATTATTTTAACAATAATACATAAGCAAATTATTTCCCCAGATATCATAAGAAAAACAGGAGTTGAAATAGTCATTTTAACTATTTTTTCCAAACTCCACCTTTTATAGATACAAGTTTATTATGACTCAGTGTACTTTTTAAAAAATTTGACATACAGTAAGCTTCATCTTTTTGGGTGCATAGTTCTATGAGTTTTGACAAATGCGTCCTTACAAATGAGTCCTGTGACTACAAAAAATACAGAACAGCTTCATCACTCTCCAAATCCTATCCTGCTACCTGTTTGTAATTGTCTCCTCCTTACACATTTAACCCCTAGCAACTGCTGATTTGTTTTGTATTCCTATAGTTCTACCTTTTCCAGAATTTCATAAATGCAATCATTCACATACTACTCATTTTTTTTTTTTTGCCAGAATCTTCAAAATCTCAGGGAGAACTATATACTTTTTAAAAAAGGAAAGAATAAGTCAAGGATGCCATACCTGCCAAGTAGAATAGACTTGTTATATTGATATTTAATAATTTCATGAAACTATATGAAAGGAATATTAGTTATGATTCCAAGACCATGAAATCTCATCTTGGCCCCTGAACGATCAGACAAGATCATGTACAACAAATGAAAATACAGGAATTCTTGGCTCTAAAGGGGTGTGGAGCTGAGGCTCTCTCTGAAACGAGAGGGGACAGTTATTCTGGAAGGGCAAGATCCATTTCCTATTGGCTTCTGGTTGAGCTTGTCATAGAGTTAGCACCTGATGAATGGATGGCCTTTGGAACACTCAAATGTGCATTCAGGGCACATCTATAGATGAAGTTGGTCACTCCACCAAGCCTCTGGGTGTAATCCACTGCTGTGGCTTTCTTGATGGGTTTCCAGGACATGCAGATCACTACCAGGTGGTCCCAGTGGAGAGGACTGCTAACTCGTCAAGGGGACATGAGAAGCTGTATTCCCTTCTGAAAACCTTGAAACCAGTTTGGTTAAAAGTCTCACAGTTTTTCTTTAACAGCAGACTCTTCCCACACAATGGCTTTTTCCTCTTCTCTGCCAAACTCCCTGCATTGTTGAGGGATCGAAAATGATCTCATCAAGGGAAATAATGGTATTAAAGTGGTCCTTAGGGTCCCATGCAGGCTCAGCCCACGATGCTGGATGCTGACTTCACTCAAAATAGCACAGCCCCGCGGTTATTTGGTAAATGGTTTTTGTACGATGACAACGATATATTGATCTTTTTTTAAAATCTCAGGTTTTGACTGTCTAAAGGGCTGCAAAGTAATCTTTTAGTTTAACCACAGCTAAATAGGCTGTCTGGGGTCAAAAGGCATATCTTGATGGTTAATTCTCACTGTTACATTGTAGGTACTTCTAAGACTTGGAAATAGTCTATTAAATTCCATTAAAAAATGTCTTTGAATCCATTAATATTAGGGGATTGTAAATACATATAAATTATTTAAATACATGTAGTAAGATAATATCTTGAAATATTAATGTCTATGCTTTATTTTTCCCCACTTATTTATGCATGGCCTTTATTCTACTTAACTAAGAAGTAAGATTGTATTACTGGGAACATAAGATCAAGAAATAGTTTGCCCTCCTCCTCCTTTCTCCTCCTCCTTTCTTCTCCTCCTCCTCCTTTTTCTCCTCCTTCCTTTAAAATTATCCAAGTCATACTGTCAATAATCAGCAGGAAGAATGACCTGAGTTAAACAAGCCCCAGCTGTTAGGAATCAACACTAGATTTGGAGAGAACTAGAAGAACCAAATCACTCCGCTCACACTGGCCCCCTGTGTCTTTAGACCAGAAGTCGAGTATCCAGGACGAAGTCGAGGTTAAGCAGGAGAGAACAAGAGTTAGGAACGTCCCTTAGAGGAGATTGGAGGGGTGGGAGATGAGAGGATGGGGCCTGGCCAGACACCGTGCGAATAGCGGGGTGCAGTAGGGAGACTGCTGAGGACCTGCGGGGGGGGGGGGGGCTGAGCAAGGCTGCAAACCCTTCAGAGCATGTCTTCTTGCTTTGGGGAAGGCTCCACGAGTCTCTTCACTGTAAGAGACTCTGATGATTCTTGAAGATCTCAGGCACTTTGTGGATGCCCCCACACATATTAATGTCATCTCAGCACTCCAGGACACATTTAAGGCCCCTACCACAGAGGGTGGGCATCCTTGAAACTCAGGAGTGGGAATGTGTAAATGCCAACCCCAGAGCCTGGATGAGACTGGCTGGCAGTGAAAATAGCGCAGAATGAAAGACAATTATCCAGCTTTTAAAAACTGGCAACCTAATTACAGTATCCACATGGGATACAGTGAATGTGGTCATCACCAAAGCACCAAAAATTCAAAATTTATCTTTAGTGCCTCCTGCCAGCCACCCCAATGTTTATATGCCTTCCTTGGAGCCTGCCTCCCATTTGTATCCAATTCACAGCTAATTACCACCCAATCCCCTAAAAGAGGTGTCAGCTGATGCATTTAGAGGAAGGATTTGCATTTTTTAAAAGTGGCAAGTTAAAGATCAGAAACTTTCCTTGAACTCAAAGGGATGTCTCATGATGGAATTGAAAGTTTTAGGTTGCAAGATAGGAAAACTTGATGGAGTCCTAAAAAGGAATGAGCTATTGATGCATGCATCCAAATAATTATCCCAAATATATATGATGCCATTTATATATATTTTAGAAAATACTTGCTAAATAGAGAAATGGAATGCAGTCAGTGGTTTCTTGGAGTTGGAAGGGGACGGGAAGGGGCAGGAGGAAGGGATTACCAAGGGGCAAAAGGAAATGCTGGGGGAATGGATGTGTTCAGTATCTTAATAGTGGTGATGGTTTGTTTCATGGGTGTGTACAAATATCAAAAATATTAATATCAAAATGTACACTTGAAATCGTGCAGTTTATTGTCATAAATTATAATTTAATAAAGCTACTAAAAACAAACAAAACTTGATGGAGTAAGGACCCAATTTGCCTTTCCTTGAAGATTTGCCCACTCCATCTGCTCATGAAGTCACCCTTGAGAACAGAGTTATGTTTCCCTGGAGCTAGTGAAGCTGCAGAGGTAAAGTGACTTAAGGAAGACCACACAGTTTGAGCTGCTCCTGCTGTTACCCTAGAGCCACAGCTCTGTGAAGCGCTTGGCTGTTCTCAGATGGGGGAGGTTTGCAGAGCTATCCTTCGTTTATCCTAGAAGTATTGCCTAGAATGAATGAAGCACCAAGTGGATTCTATTAACCGAAGGTATTGTGGGAAAACACACTTTATCATTTAAAGTAGAGCATTAGACATGGCCTCTGCAGCTAAATTAGTAAGTCCTAGTGATTTATCATTCACTTTTCTTCTCTTTGTAATATTTCTGTGAGCTGCTTAAACAGGCATTCCTAATTCAGCCTTGAAGAGAGGAGAGTTTCCTAACCACCCTTTCCTGTGTGTTTAGTGCCTTGTTTAAAGATGCTAAATTCCCTCACAGAGAGAGAACCTACTTCAAAAGTGCTTGGGGTCCTGGAGACACCACTTATCTTTAACATATTTGCATTTCAAAGCTCTTTAACAGGCACCTGCCACTTCTCACCCTTTTGCCCTCTTTCCCTGCGCCTCAGGACATGGAGTATTTGGCTGTGATAAAGGCCACTGGCTGGCCTGTGACAGAGCCCAGAGAGGACTTGAGGCTGCTTGGCCTCCTGCCCAGTACTCTTCCCCACTTGGAAACTCCGCAAGAGCAGCCACATTCAACCGGGAGGAAGCTTTCCTGTTTGGGCCATGTTAGGTGTTTGGGGCCCGGGCTCACTCCCTCCCCATCCCTTCCCCAGCTCCTCCCTCATGCTGGAGATTGCTTTATTTATAAGCAAATCCTCATTTTCAATTATTCAATATCTCAACATCGAGTTGAACATTCTCTCATTTCATGTATGAATTGTAAAATTGGACTGCTTAGAATATTTTTCATTAGTGATGCCCTAAATAAACATGTACTGGTTAAACATTTCCATATTAATTATCAGGAATTACTGTGATTCTGAACTGGAATTATAATGAATGTCAGCCTCTTCCTAACAACAAGCTAAAAAGGTCTGTGCAAATAGTTAAAATAAATATGTGCAAATAGTTCAAATAAATCTCTGTAGTCTTTCCATCCCAGAGTCATTTTTCTGCTCACCTCTACAGATCTGTCAAAAAGAAAAAAAAG